GTGGGGACTGTGGGGCATAGTGAGAGAGAGAGATTTAGAAAGAGGGAGAAGTTTGATCAAAGCAATTCAGGTGGGTAGCCATGTTGGCCTGGAACAACAGAACAAAGTTTGGGGCCAGTGGCACTTTTAAGACCAACAAATTTTAATTCTGGGTATAAGCCTTCATGTGCATGTACACTTCTTCAGATACATTGAAACAAGATATATAGGTGTGTGTGTGGGGGGGGAATTAGTTGCCAGGAAAGGCTAATTTGAGTCAAGATGTAACTGAGCGATGTGTATAGCTACAATTGGCAGTTGGTAAGACCTGTGAATAGCAGCAGATTAGCACAGAGATAATAAAAGAGTTAACGAACAGATGTGAGAACCAAGTGTGAGTCCAGTGGCACCTCTAAGAACCAGTGAATTTTAAATCTGGATATAAGCGAGAACTGAGTGACTTTGCGTGTGTAGTGAGATAAGAATCACTTTGAACTCTCTTAAAGCCCATCTCCAGTGCTTCTTCACTCATTTTTAATGAAAGTGTGACTAACGATAACAGAAAATTACCTACTGAGAAGCTGAACACAATTTATTTGGGCTGCAATGTGGATCAAAAGGAGAGAAAGGAATGGAAAGTTTTGCATTGTCCAGCCACAATTGTAAGATATTAACAGCGCAATCCTGTACACGTTATCTCTCTCTTTTTTTTTTTAAATATAAATTTTATTAACTATTTCAACAATACAAGAATTACATTAAACGTGTGAAATACAGTAAAACATTGCTTAATAAAATAACTTTTCTGTAGTAAACTTATGTTTTTTACTAATATTATAGCATCTTATATCTGGAAAGTTAGAAAAACATTCAAATATTCCTTTTCAGTTATCATTCTTTTCGTTTATCTTTGAATTACATTTCCCATAAATAGGAATTAATCACTGCCAAGTAATTAAAAGACAACAGAAGTCTCCCAAACCTAGATCACACACTACATAACTATGAACATTAATTTGTAAAACATTTTTTTCAATTGAACAACATTATTTTGTATTTGGCATGCGATATAGACTCCCAGGTGAATTCCTCCATTGTGATTTTTTCCAGCATAGGGGCCCATGTGTTGAGAGGATTGTTAAATTCGCATTCTAGTTGAAATGTGGAATCAAACAGTGAAAATTTTTCTAACATAAAATAGTCCCATAATTTGTGTATCCATTGAGTTACAGTTGGGGGTGTGGGGTGTTTCCAGTTTTGGGCTATAACTGCTTTTGCTGACGTAATCAGTATATTTATTAATTTTCTTATCCTATCAGGAGGTTTGTCTGGTGGCCATAAATGAAGGAGCAACAATTCTGGAGATAAAGGTAAGTTCTGCCCTGTGATTTTTCCAATGTTTAATATAATTTGCCTCCAAAAGTGTTGAATATCTCTACATGTCCACCAATTATGTATATACGAAGCTTTCTCTCCACATTTTTTCCAACAATATGGCGAGACAGTTGGATTTATACAGGATAATTTACTAGGAGTGAGGTACCATCTTGTGGTCAGTTTTGTATTAATTTCCTTTATACTAGAAATTCTGGATATGTTGCTGTACACGTTATCTCTGAAGAACAGGATTACTTCTATGTAAGTGTCTCTAGAACTGGACCCCGAGAGATCTTTGCTTGCAAATTTAGTTGACTCATGTTAGCAAGAATTCATTTTCTCAGTATGTGGTGATAGCTAATCATTTAGATTGCTTTCATATGGAATTAGAAAAAAATAATGAAAGAGATTATTAATGATGGTAGTGAAATGGAACCTCCAGGTTCAGAACCACGTTGTTTCTAAAAACCAGCAAATAACTGGATTATTGCCATCATTCCCTGCTTATGAGTTTCCTAGAAGCATCTGACTTGCCACTGGAATATGTGGTCCTGGATGATCTAGCCAGGCTCTTTTTATGTTGTTATGATTAGTTTCATTTAATAGACTCACAATTATAATGGTTGAAAGCCCTTATTTTTGGTTTTTTTGGTGGCATGAACATAAGAAGGTAAGAGAAGCCAATGCTGGATCAGGCCAATGCCCATCCAGTCCAACACTCCATCACACAGTGGCCAAAAATACCAGGTGTCATCAGGAGGTCCAGCAGTGGGGCCAGGACATTAGAAGCATTAGCACAGTGGTATTCACTCCCTCGCTCAGTACCACTCTGTGGCATCCATGGTTCTAAGCTACGAACTTCCTTCTCATGCTCGCATCACCCCAACTCGGGCAACAAAAAGACAGGTCATGAACTGCTCTTACATGGTTTTGTGTTACTGATGTTACCAAAGCAGTGTGGAAGGAGCAAGCGCTTCAGTGGCTCCCCTACCATGATGCATTGCAGGAAGTGATCTTAGAACAAAGATTTCCCAAGGGGTTAAAAACATATCAACCATTGTTCCAGTTTTGGCGATCTAATGGCGAACGCGTCTCTTGGGAGCTCCCAAGGATGTGATCCATGAGCCAGCAGATGGGAGAGGGGGTGCGACTGTACGTGCCCCCCTGGAGCCCTTGCGATGGGTTCCTAGCCATGAGTCACCAAGGATCACCTCTCTCCCGGCACGGTGCCGGTGGATTGAGGCATTTCAATGCCCCGACGGTCTCGCCACTGTGTTCCAGTATTGGATTCAGAGACGCACACCGGGACAAGCAAGAGGAGGTTGAGTGCTTTATATAGTTGATGGCGAGATCTACCTGATCTACATTGAGAATGGTTGAAATGAGTACCAGATAAATGGCTGAAAGTCCCCCCTAAAGTAAGCAAGAGGGGGCGGGGAACCCGCCCTGTGTAAATAAAAAAGGATTTTTTAAAGCATGCTTTTCAAAGGAGGGCAGAACTGAAAGCAAATGGGACTATAGTAAGGAACTTACAAGAGAATTACAGGCGGCTTGCAGACATTAGAGACTTTTGGCAAACTTTTCTAAATGTAAACAGCTTCAAAGATGTCGCTGAAAAAGACGGAGAAAGATAAGCAAATGAAACCTAGGCCTCCTAGGATCCAACAGGGGAAGAGGACGAGAAGAGCAACAAGGGGAGTGATGATGAAACACTTACTGGAGAAGATTCGGATTTGGAATGTGGGGCGGCTGCCCCCAAGCAAGGATATCAATTGAGGGAAAGAAGAGGCAAATGAGATGCCAATTTTCTCTGAAGTTTGGGCTTGCTTCTTAATATATAAGCGTTTTTGTTTTGTTTTTTTACTAAGTCAGAATACCTGGACTTGAAATTTTTGTAAGCAACTTTAACCATGACCTTCAATGTAACAAATTAATCTTTTCTCTCTTTTTTTTTACTTAAAGCTACTTTATTGTAATCATTATATGACCACCACCTCTTGGGTTTTTAGTGGTTTATCTTTACTTTCTCCTGTAGTTTATAGTTTCCCTTTCCTTATTTTCTTGTAGTTTTGGAAAATAAATTTTTTTTTTGGCAAAAAAACAAACATATCAACCATTTAAGGACTAGAGACTTTGCCCGAAAAGATAATCAGGTTGGTTTTTTTGTGAATGACAAAGAAGAGGAAAGGATGGTCGGCTCTGAATACAACAGGTTTTTCAAAGGAGGTGAGGCGGATCTGTATCCCAGTAGCAGCTGCTGCCTCAGTGCCTTCTTCGTTAACTTCCACATAAGACTTATGAATGATTTCTGACACGTCCAGGCCTCCTGCAGAGGAGATGCCTGTGAGACTGGCCCTTGGTGTGAAGAGATCTGTTATGCCCAGGTTTCCCAGAATGCCGATCAGACTATATTTCTCCTCCATCTTCATTCGGGGCACATATACTTCCACTTTTCTTTGTCTCATGGACTTCATCCATTTTAGTAACTCCTTGTAGGTGATTAAACGTTGAAGCTGTGGGAAAGGAAATATTCATTATTTATGAAGCACCTTTGGTGTCCTACTCCAACGGGAGCTATTTTATCCACAACTTGGTGAGGCTTTCACAGGGAACTTTAGCCTTAGGCTTTTTTTTGTCTTATTTTTAATGGCTTTCTGTGATCACTATTCTGAGTTCGTGAAGTTAAAAACTCCGTTTAAAGGTCAGACCAATCAGCCTTTTCCCTTCTTTGTAAAAAAAGTGATTTGGATTTTGAACTCAGATCTCGCTCTGCCCAAGCTAAACACTCTGCCTATGGCTATGGCCAGGAACCTCCCATAACCAGAAAAATTTCTTTGCTATCAGCTGTGTGACCACCATTTTAATAGTTATGATGATGTTTTAAATTTTAATTTGTATTGTGTTAACAAATATATTTTGTATAAATGCAATGTTGTTACCCTCCCTGAGCCCACTTCCAGGAAGGGAGGGCTATAAATGTGAAGAAATAAAATAAATAAACAAATACCATGTGACAATTACAGGAGTTGACAAAGCCAATCGAAAAGTAAATGAACCCCAAACTATTCTCTCAGCTTTCAGATGGGCCCTTGCAGAGGTCATTTCGGGGGGGATTGCGGGGGATCGCAGTTCCCCCAGGTGAGGTGCGGGGGGCGGGGCACACGACGAAGCCCCACCCCCTGCTTCCGGCCGCCCCGCTTCCAGCCCTCATTCAGCCAGGAGGAGGCAGGAGAAGAGGGAGGGTAAGTTGCTTCCTCCCCGCCTCTCCCCACCCCTGCCTGCCTGGGGCCAGGGAGGGCCTTGGCGGGGCTTCCTCGCACTCCCGCCAAACTTGCTGGTCCACCGCCGGGCCTTATGATGTCAGGGGGTGTGGCATATGCTAATGAGTTCCCCTAGCTCTTTTTCTACGAAACGACCCCTGGGCCCTTGAAATGCTGTAGCAACATAGTTCAAACTAGATTGGGCAACCATCCATTATACAAAGAGAGCTCGGGGAAAGTAGCCTGTATGTTTCAGATGGCAGATTGATTCAGGTTGTCCCAGGCGGTTGTGACTACATTAGGTAAAGGTAAAGGTTTCCCTTGCTCGAAAGCCAGTCGAGCACCGACTCGGTGCTCATCTCCGTTTCAAAGCTGAAGAGCCAGCGCTGACCGAAGACGTTTCCGTGGTCATGTGGCCGGCATGACTAAACACCAAGGTGCACAGAACACTGTTGCCTTCCCACCAAAGTGGTACCTATTTATCTACTTGCAATTTCTTGCTTTCAAACTGCTAGGTTGACAGGAGGTGGAACTAGAGATGAACTCACTCCATCATGTGGCAATCCGGGTCTCTAACTGCTGAACTACTGACCTTCCACAACCTGCAGTTCAGCATCTTAACCAATTGAGCCACCTCAGCTCCCCACGCGACTACATTAGGAAATACTTAACATGAATGAATCTTCGAAAAGAGTAAGAGTCCAGTAGCACCTTAAAGGCAAACAAAATTTGTGGCAGGTTATGAATTTTCATGAGTCACTGCTAACTCCTTCGGATGTTCCTTGATCTATTATTGAATCTCAAGGCTTCGGAGTTCTATACCCAGGGTTTAGGCTTAGCAGTTTGCCCACCTCTGCCAGTTCTCCCCCACTCTTGCAGTGGGGAAAAATAGGGGAGGGGATGATCCAGAAGATGTCACATCACTTCAGGTCATCATGTTTTGTGATGCTCCTCTGCTCCATGACCTGCCCCCCCAAACTCCCCAGGATGGTTAGGTGCAGGCCTGCCAACCCTACCAGGGTCAGTATTTGGGCCCCCACCACTCTGGTTCTGACTCAAGTCATGCACAGATATATTTGTACTAATTTAGATCATATATTTCTTCTACAGATAGGTCTCGCAAGAAGCTAGGAGACGCTATCAACTACTGCTCATCCATCTGCAGCCATGACCCCAAATCCCTTTGTGATAATCTTTGGGCAGATGTGGCAGCAAACTGCTTGAAACAAACCTTTCGTAATCTGTTACGCAGAATAATTCCAGCAAATGAGCTAACCAGTGCTGGTTATGGAAAGAAATGTAATCAGTTATATTCTTCTCTTGACTGCTTTTCTTTAGAATGGAAAAAGGTATACCTGCAGCAGGCCAAAATTGTCCTTTGGAAGAAGTATGACCATACTCATTTCATTGTTAGCATATGGAAGTTCAAGAATTAGAATGTTGAACTTCTCTATGGAGGCAAAATTAAAATCGGAGACGTGGTGCATCATCTGTACAGATCTGTTCACTTTCTGGAAAAAAAAACGGTAAGTTAACGAGTCAGGAGCCCATGGAATGAGTGACAAGATGGAAACAGTTTGCAAGATGTTAACTTACACAAAAACAGCCCACTCAAGCTGCTGAAATGATATAATGGTTAGTCAGTCAGTCAGTCAGTCAGACTTTATTGGCATAAAACAATACCTTAAAAGCGGATTACTATCAGAAAATATACATATAAAACCATATAAGACCATACATATAAAACCAAGTATTTTGCAAACTACATAGTATTGCATAATCTCTCCTTATATATAATTGAATAGTGGGTGCCAAAGTTCTAAAATGCACTCCTTTAGTGTATGGACGCTTGAACTGTCTGTCAGAAGACACTGGCTGGGTTGACTGGCTGCTTTGTGCAGTCCCGCCCAGCGTTTCAAGGTCTTTTGCATATGGAAGCTGATTGGACTTCACTGCATTCCACACCTCAAACTCACCCCCCTCCCCGCAAGGCAGTTGGAATGTCAGTTGCATATGGAACCTTCAAGGTCTTTTGCATATGGAAGCTGATTGGACTTCACTGCATTCCACACCTCAAACTCACCCCCCTCCCCGCAAGGCAGTTGGAATGTCAGTTGCATATGGAACCTTCAAGGTCTTTTGCATATGGAAGCTGATTGGACTTCACTGCATTCCACACCTCAAACTCACCCCCCTCCCCGCAAGGCAGTTGGAATGTCAGTTGCATATGGAACCTTCAAGGTCTTTTGCATATGGAAGCTGATTGGACTTCACTGCATTCCACACCTCAAACTCACCCCCCTCCCCGCAAGGCAGTTGGAATGTCAGTTGCATATGGAACCTTCAAGGTCTTTTGCATATGGAAGCTGATTGGACTTCACTGCATTCCACACCTCAAACTCACCCCCCTCCCCGCAAGGCAGTTGGAATGTCAGTTGCATATGGAACCTTCAAGGTCTTTTGCATATGGAAGCTGATTGGACTTCACTGCATTCCACACCTCAAACTCACCCCCCTCCCCGCAAGGCAGTTGGAATGTCAGTTGCATATGGAACCTTCAAGGTCTTTTGCATATGGAAGCTGATTGGACTTCACTGCATTCCACACCTCAAACTCACCCCCCTCCCCGCAAGGCAGTTGGAATGTCAGTTGCATATGGAACCTTCAAGGTCTTTTGCATATGGAAGCTGATTGGACTTCACTGCATTCCACACCTCAAACTCACCCCCCTCCCCGCAAGGCAGTTGGAATGTCAGTTGCATATGGAACCTTCAAGGTCTTTTGCATATGGAAGCTGATTGGACTTCACTGCATTCCACACCTCAAACTCACCCCCCTCCCCGCAAGGCAGTTGGAATGTCAGTTGCATATGGAACCTTCAAGGTCTTTTGCATATGGAAGCTGATTGGACTTCACTGCATTCCACACCTCAAACTCACCCCCCTCCCCGCAAGGCAGTTGGAATGTCAGTTGCATATGGAACCTTCAAGGTCTTTTGCATATGGAAGCTGATTGGACTTCACTGCATTCCACACCTCAAACTCACCCCCCTCCCCGCAAGGCAGTTGGAATGTCAGTTGCATATGGAACCTTCAAGGGCGGAGGGGTGGGATCTCAGACAGGTAGAATGCCATAGACTTCACCCTCCAAACCAGCCATTTCATCCTGGGTAACAATTGTTGCAAATCTCCAGGTGAGGGCTACAGATCACTCAAAATTACAACTGCTCTTCAGGGAGCAGAGATCAGTACCTCTGGAGAAAACAGTGGACTCTGTCATTATACCCTGCTGAGGTCACCACAGCAAAATGACACTGTTTGCCCAAAGCCAGAGCACTCCCCCAGAGCCTCTTTCTAGATCTCGTTGTATTTATTTCCACAACGGGCTTTACTGCTAGTGTTACATAAAACAATTTGTTACAAAGTGTTGCTCATTTAGGGCCCCAGTCACACAGGCCAGATAACGTGGGGGTGAGGTGTGGCTGTTTGCCCCGGGGCAAAATTAAGCGTGTTAGCCCGAGCACACGGTCTCCCAAGTTTTTGCGCGGTGGCAGGAAGCTCGTGATCACACGGCGATGCTGGAGCTGGCAAATAAGCCGCGCGGCAAGCATTCCGTGATTGTTCACATGCGCAGTTCCGCGGAGCAGCACTGCTTCCAGTTTAGTGTTCATGTGCATGCACTTATGAAAACCATCTGGTTTGTGACGGGACTCGGACAGGCGCTGGAAGCCACGGGATACTAGTGCTCCCGCGATCAGACACCTGCCCCTGCCGCACGTTTTCCGGATACTACTGCACTTTCTGAGGTATTTTTTTACTGCACATCTTCGGCAGGATGCCACGGGTTGGCTATGGGTGCGCTACGCTTCCCAGATGTTGCAGTGTGATCGCGCACTGAAAATCCACCTACCATTCGTGCCTTTTAGTGTGGCACAATCCTCCGTGTGAACAGGGCTTAGATAGTTTTTCCTGACGTAGCTTTATAGCCAATTGTAAAGACCACCATACTTATATACCATTTAGCGAACATTTTACTAGTTGATTACAAGCTTACCTCATTCACCATAAAAAGCATTTGCTTTGTGTCTCGTGTGTTAAATTCAGACGCCCACTTTTCTTTGAAGTGAATGGCATTTACTAAAACCAGGATGGTTCTGGAAGGAATAGATCCAGAAGCAAACATATCTTTGATCAAACCTTAAATGGAGGGGAAAATACACACACACACACACAAAGGGATGGGGGAGGAGAATGTAATATCTTTGCAGAAACGATGAAAGAAACAACATGTCTACTATTTTGAGCAGGGTTGCTGTGCAGAGAAAGGCAATGGCAAACCACCTGTACTCATCTCTTGCCTTGAAAAATCCATTGAGGGATTTGCAGCTTGAAGGCAGTTTGTTTTTTTAGCTGTTTCAACCCTTGGAGACTCATTCAACCATGTACATCTACACAGACAATTGAAACATGTTCCCACCAGTCTCTACCCGAATCCTAGTAAACAGGACAGTTTCCCTGTATGCAGGGCTTTTTTTTGTAGAAAAAGTCCAGCAGGAACTCATTAGCATAATAGGCCACACCCAGCAGTAAACCTCATTAGCATATTAGGCCACACCCTGACTGCACCACTCATTAGCATATTAGGCCGCATTCCCATGTTACCAGAAGTGTGGTCATACAGCCACACCCACCTTTCCCTTCTTATTCTGTTTACCTTGTTTGTTGTCAAAACCCAGGCCCTTTTTTTGTTGCAGGAACTCCTTTGCATGTTAGGCCACACACCCCTAATGTAGCCAATCCTAATGAGTTTCTGTTGTTGGGTGTGACCTATTATGCTAATGAGTTCCTGCTGGGTGTGGCCAACTCGGGAGCCAGCCGGAACTCCGTTCCTGTGCGTTCCTGCCCCAGAATAGCCCTGCCTGTATGCAGTTAGTGATTTTGGGGCGATTTTGGCATTCTCCTTTTTGTCAAGAAGTAACAGCCACATGTGAAGGCTTTTGCACGTGCCCAAGTTGATTCATGCGTGCATTGGATTGCCACTGGTGTGGGATGAGGGGAGGGGAGAGTTGTCAGATCCAAGTTGGGAAACCCCTGGAAATTTGGGAGTGGAGCTTGGGGAGGATAGAGACCTCAGTGCGATACAACGCCATAGAGTCCACTCTCCAAAGCATACATTTTCTCCAGGGGAACTGAACTTTGTACTATGGCGATGAGCTGTAATTACAGATAATCCCCAGGTCCAGCCTGGAGGCTGGCATCCCTAAGTGGTCCTCCTGTGCAAGGGGACTGATCATTGCTGCAGGGTGGATGTTTCTGTGCAATTAATCTTGAGAGTTCATGTATAAAAATATAGCATCCTTTCTTTCTTTCTTTTCTTGACAGCTGAATGTCTACTCCTATATTTTAAAGGTAAAGGTTTCCCTTGCCCGAAAGCCAGTCGAATCAGACTCTAGGGTTGCGGTGCTCATCTCCGTTTCCAAGCCAAAGAGCCAGCGCTGTCCGAAGACATTTCCGTGGTCATGTGGCCGGCATGACTAAACACCAAGCAGTGTTCCCTCTAAGCTGAGTTAGTGTGAGCTAGCTCACAGTTTTTTAGCCTCTGGCTCACACATTTTTGTATTGGCTCAGGAAGGATGGCTTCAGAGCAAACTAGTTTATCCAGCAGCCAAATCGCTTGCTCACAACTTTAATGCCAGTAGCTCTCAAAGTAGAATTTTTGCTCACAAGACTCCACAGCTTAGAGGGAACACTGACACCAAGGCGCACGGAACGCAGTTCCCTTCCCACCGAAGTGGTACCTATTTATCTACTTGCAATTTCTTGATTTCAAACTGCTAGGTTGGCAGGAGCTGGAACTAGAGACGGGAGCTCACTCCGTCATGCAGCAACTCGGGTCTCGAACTGCTGAACTACTGACCTTCCACAGCCTGCAGTTCAGCATCTTAACCACTTGAGCCACCGCAGCTCCTTTTTAAATTTAATTTTATTTATTTTAGGCAACCATTTATACTAAGAAACACTGGACAATAAAAGATCATGTCCTCTTACCATTGGTTTGACTTTCCACCCAAGCATTAATTGCCAATCTCGCTTGTTCAGAAGATTTTTGAAAGTCGACTTTTTCCAGGCCTGCTCTGTACAGCTCCTTAGTGCATTTTAAGTATTTCTAAGGTCAAAAGGAAAATAAGCATCCGCATTTCTGTGTTAAATCATGCAACGCCAGGAAAGAATTCCACAGAGTAAATTATCTGAATATCACGTTTCCATTTTGAATACTGCATACAGCTTGCTCGGTGACAAAACAAAAGCACTTTACTGAAAGTTCTTTTCTTTTTTTTAAACCCCCAGAGGGGTATTTTTATTTTTTCGATAAGACTACAAACTACGAAGAAAAAATATAGGAGGGGGAACTGCAACTATGGATAAAGGAAAGATACCCACACTAACTAAAAACCCAAGAGTGGGAAACCCCCTTTATGTTAAACTTAATATTAGTATTAAAAGAGTTAGTAACACAATATACTTGTAGAGTTCTTGTTTTTCACATTGTTCTGTATTAGTAAATTAGTTATTATGAGAGAACTTTCTGAGCATCTTCTTTATTTCAGAGAGCCATTTATCAGAGTCCTTCTGCCCTTACTTCGGCCACTTTACTGAAAGTTCTGATGACATTTAGAAGGGCACAGCAAACTCTATAAAGTGGGGAGTCCCTGATCTGGATCCAGTGGCGCATGACCCCCTTGCTTGCTATCCCACTTCCAGAAGTACTAAGTGCCCCCACCCTGAAATGTTGTTCCTGGGCCACAGGAGACAGGGGACCCTCCAAGAACAGTGTGAAAGGGTGTGGCAACAATTATCCCTCTTCCGTCAATGGATCCAGCTTCCTGTTTCAAATATCACCTCTGTTTTAATCCCATTCACTATCCTTGAACAAGTCACTGTTCCCCATTCTTACCCCCCCCACACACACATATCTTTACTATAGGGATAACACTGCTGCATCAAGGATGCTGTAAGGATTGCTGATTGTCAATGTTGAAAACATCCTATAGCAGTGGTGGCGAACCTATGGCACGGGTGCCAGAGGTGGCACTCAGAGCCCTCTCTGTGGGCACGGGTGACATCGCCCCAGCCAGGCCCAAACCATCATTAATGTGTCGAATTCTCTGCCAAATAATTTTAAGTAAATGAAAGCCTTTGGGATTGCTTTCCTTACTTTGTTTGGATCCTCTTAAGTTAATGTATGAGTTGTTTTTTCCTAAAGTAAAACCTCAGTATTCAGGTTAAATTGCCGTGTTGGTACTTTGTGATAAATAAGTGGGTTCTGGGTCGCAGTTTGGGCACGCGGTCTCTAAAAGGTTCACCATCACTGTCCTATAGCAATAGAAACGGTAAGTATTATTACTGGCATGTGCACAATGTAGAGTATGAGGCAGAACAATTACTTGTAGTTTCTGCTTTGCTCATATAGGATTTCACTCTAATACAGAAACACATTCTTATTTTTCGTTGAAACTGTTGAACACTGGCATTAGGTCACCTTACCGGAAGAATGGGGTAGGATCGTTCAGCATAGAGTCTGTTGGCAATGCTCAGAGTATCATTAGTGTCGAGTGCTCTGATTTGCGAGAGTACACTTCCTAATGCGGTATGGACACTGTTAGGCTGCTGGCACTGTTTCAGAGGAGACACAAAACAAGACACTCTGCTGCTGTGATTGATAAATTCAACTGATCCTTTAAAACAGTATCAACATCTTTTTTCTTTCATATCCATTGTATTAAAACCTTGATGCCACGTCTTTTCTTAATATTTAAAACAGAAGTAGCTTTCCGACAATGTCGAAGGTGTTGAATAACTGTTAAAAACCAGTAAAGAATAAAATAGTGTGTAAAATGACATGGGGATAGTCTAAGAATAAATGCAACAGCATAAAACAAAAACAGCATAAAAATAGACCATCTAAATTCCACAGTAGCAAGAATAGTGATTTCCTTGCAATAGAGAACAACCTATGATTAAAACAACCAAGAACGAGATAGCCAATGACAGCAGATCAATTATCAATAACATCGGTTTAGCTAAATGCTAACTGAAATGAGTATTGTCTCCTGGTGATGAATAGGGCTGCTGAACAGCATAAAACAAAAACAGCATAAAACAAAAACAGCATAAAACAAAAACAGCGTAAAACAAAAACAGCATAAAAATAGACGATCTAAATTTCACAGTAGCAAGAACAGTGATTTCCTTGCAATAGATTGCTGAACAAGTTCACAGTATAATGAATAAGCAATGAAGATACTGCTTTAATTGTTGTTTTGTTTCAACAGCTGAATAACATCAAGAGACCAAAGTCTCAGCACAAGCAGGACGAACTTTCCCAGGCTTGACTGTCCGTTTCGACTTTGCGTCTTTATCAAATATGTGCATTACCCAGAAGGGAATTGTTGATTGTGAGAGCTTGAAGTAGCCACCTTTGAAACTATGCACATATTGTTGAAAACCATGTACTGAAGACAAACAACTACAAACTGACGTTTGATAAAGACGCAAAGTCGAAACGGACAGTCAAGCCTGGGAAAGTTCGTCCTGCTTGTGCTGAGACTTTGGTCTCTTGGTGTATTCAGCTGTTGAAACAAAACAACAATTAAAGCAGTATCTTCATTGCTTATTCATTATACTGTGAACTTGTTCAGCAATGTGTTTTTTGCATGTTTGATCTGAATTGCTGGGTCCTATTCACCCTTGTTGTTCCTTGCAATAGATAACAACCTATGATTAAAACACCAAGAACGAGATAGCCAATGACAGCAGATTAATTATCAATAACATCAGTTTAGCTAAATGCTAACTGAAATGAGTATTGTCTCCTGGTTATGAACAGGGCTGCTGAGAGCCACCCTGGGCTTCCCATGAACCCAATCCAAATAACCAAAACAAATCAGGTTGGTTGAAAGGCTCAGGAAAAACTCATAACAGGAAAATGTTTTCCTCGTAGTTATAAAAGTTTGCAGCCATGGAGAGCTTTCTTTAAAAATTGCTGCTAAAAAGGGGCCACTAACAGAGCAACTGTTTTCTCTGCTCTGCCTTCCCTGTGCCTCCCTGTGCCTCTAGTGGCTGCAGTGCAGAAGTGCACTAAATGTAAGATGAACATGAACTGCATTTGTTGAGAGCAGGATGACTCTAGCTTCACTGGGCCCTGAGCTGACTTGAGCCCCAGGAATTTTGTATCTTTAGTCCCCCTTATCAGCAGCCTTGCTATTGAAACAAAGTTGGCTTCTGTCAAGTTTCCTGGGGAAGGCTACTCCACAATCACAGGGCTGACATAGAAAAGGCCCTAGCTTTAGTTACCACCCAGCTCTGCTCAGTTGGGAGGGACATCTGAAGGGGAAGAGGGCTCTGTAGATGATCTAAGTGAATGGCAGGAGCTACATTCCTGCCTCTTTCAGAGATAGGGAAGAAGATACAGTATAAGCCTAATACAATGCTGGCTTCCCATACCATACCATCTCTATTCCTGGGGCACTGCTTTTGCTGTGCTTCAGCATTCTTAGACCACTGACTTCCAGGGAAATTCCTCCTAGGCATCACCTTGGAGTATCAAGTGCCTGATGTTCCTCAGGCTCTATATTAGAGGACAGTGCATCAGCTATAAGAAAACTATATGTAACCTGCATGGCATGAACCTGAGGAAGACCAAGGAAAACCAATAAATAACAACTGTGCGCTGAAAAACCCGCACAAGAGCTATTAAAAAGAGACTTCAACACAATAAGTAATTCAATACATGTAATCCATCATAGGAAAATACACAAGTCCATAATATCCCAAAGGGAAAGAACAAAGTCCAGAATAACAATCTCTCAAAACAATCAAGTCTGGAATAGATGTCCACAATGAAGTCTGGAATAGATGTCCAACACTTTTCCTAGGTATTGATTAGTGTTTCGGACTTCAGGTCCTTCCTCAGGAACTACAAGCCACTACAGGAAGTCTCATTGCAGTTTCTTAACAGATAAAAATTAGCTGCGGTCACACGGAACAGAAGCCACACAAGTGAGATGGAAAACAGGCGGAGTTTCCAGGCGCGATCTCACCAGCACATCTGGGAAGCGTAGCACTCCCGTGGCTCAACCGAGGCTTCCAGCCGAAACTGCATGGCAAAAAACTAGTACCTCGGAGGTACTAGTTTCCAGAAACTGCGGGGCAAGGGCGGGCATCTGATCGCGTTTCCGGTGGCATCCGGCGCCCGCCCATGTCCCCTTGCAAATAAGGTGGGGTTTTTTTGTCCAAGTCTTTGTGGATGCGCACGCGCACCCAACGGAGCATGCACATTTGTCATGTACACATAAAAACAAAACAGTTTGCCGCGGCGCGCGCTTCTTCGTTGCGCACCGGCTTGTCCTGTGATCGGCACCTCTCCCTTGCCATGGAACCTCCACGGTACCTCCACAGGACCTCCACAGGAGGTCTGATCACATAACTGTGCAGTAGTTTGCCCCACGGCAAACAGCCACGCTTCTCCCCCGCAGTTTCCTGCCCGTGTGACCGGGGCCATTATTCAGTTTCTATATGGGCCAGGTCTCCTAAGCTTTAGAAAGCACCTACAAGGGTTGTTTGGTCCAACTTACATAGTAGCAACCCTTGAATTACGTATTGTGTTGAAGTCTCAGTGAATGGCAGGAGCTACATTCCTGCCTCTTTCAGACATAGGGAAGAAGATACAGTATAAGCCTAATATAATGCTACCACTGATTTCTCAAACTGGTTTACCATATAGGATGATAGCTCCGTTCTTTACATTTTTATGATGGAAGTCTGATGGTATTTCTCCTCTTTACTTATCAGCTTGATTTATTTTGGTAATCAATAAAACAGTGTGTCAGGGACAAAAAAACCCATACCTGAGGAAATGTGGACGTTTCAGGTTCTGTGAATTTGTCAAAATGAAGGACCTGGAATTATAAATAGGAATAGCATAAATGAAAGATTTCCCTAAATAAATATGCCATTATCGAAGCTTACTTAAATTATGTCAAATCAACTTGAATAGTTTCATTCTTCAAATAGTAAAACTGAAACACAGGCAGGTGTTATCTTCTATAATGTAATAACAAAGTGTCCATAACTGACTGAACGGTTGTGTTTTTAACACTTCTGTGCTCCTGTTTATCTTCTCATCAGGAACTATGATTGATGTGAATTTACAACAGATATGTGCTCCCTCTCTCTCTCTCTCTCTCTCTCTCACACACACACACACACACACAATTTCACTTGTAGTATAAACAGTCTGTCTAAGTAATCTAAATACACAGTTAATGGCTTGGGACCTAGGTACCCCAAAAGATGGCTATTTCTTTTGGTTTCATAGAGTCCGATCAGACGGCTCTTTAGATCCGTGCGAGGCACAATTGCCTCACGGATCTAAAGGTAATGTCCAAACACAAACATCTGGGAAATGTCCCTCTTCCGTGGGCATCCCATTTTGCCGCGCTTCGGAGCCGTACTTAAAAGATAGCACTTTAAATCTGGGGTTTTCGGTTACCTGCGGGACAGCTGCGGACTTTCACCCATCTGATGCAATCCTCCCGTCGGGGTGGTCTGATGTCAGACCATCCCGAGCGGGTGCCATTTAAAAAAATCTCTACACATGCGCGGATCAAGGACGTGCTGTCATGTCTATGCGCATGCGCAAAAAGTTTTTTAAAAAACCCACTACACGCTTCCTTTGAGAAGGACGCGCTGTGATACCTATGCGCATGCACGAAAAGTTTTTTTAAAAAAACCCACTGTGCATGCCTTTTTTAGTGGACACCATCTAGACAATCCACAACGGAGGCAGTGCGCGGTAAGGCGATTCACCAGGGGGATGTCTGGTCATGCTACGATGGATTAAAAAGATCGGGATCAAATTCAAGATAGCATAATGACGGGATTAGCTGCCCGTCTGAACACACCCATAGAAGGGTTGCCGACTCCAGTTTGAAAATGCCTGGAGATTTAGGGGTAGAGATTGGGAGGAGGGAGGTCTGTGACAATGTGCCATAGAGTCTAACCTCCAAAGCAGCCATTTTCTCCAGGGGAACTGATCCCTGCAGTTGGGTAATCGGTTTAGTGCTGGGGGATCTCCAGGCCCCACCCAAAGAATAGAAACTCTATTTCATAGGAATAAGAACAGCCATGCTGGTTAAGTCCAATGACCTGTCTATAGCATCTTGTTCCACATTGTGGCCAATTGGCACCAATAGGCTTGCAAGCAGGGCACAGTCAAAGCCCCCCCTCCCGTGCTGCCCCCCAGCACCAGTATTCAGAGGGTTACTGCCTCTGAACATGGAGGCTAATATGCATCGATGAACTGCTGTCTGTTTTAGAAGGCGTTGACAGCTCTGAACCACTAATATTTGCATAAGCGGCCTGTCTTTTACGTCCTCAAGTGGTCTCAAAATCATACCTTTTGTAGCTGAGATGCCGTTTGGCCGCTTGCACCAAGGTATACCATGGCCAAAGCAGATAGGATGCTGAACGGAGAAAAAAATACATTTGCATCTACGTTTGCGTGACTCAGCTCGCGGAAAAGGTCGAAGCAAAATTCACCGTTTGACTCAGCAACCTGGCTTGCCATGATGAAACCAGAGGTATCTAGGACAATGAAACAAAACCCAGAGTATCAAGTTGTGTTGTTGTATTGAATTTGAACTGAACATACATGTAACTGCACTATAGCTTTGATTCGCTTGCTGGGAAAAGAAAAAAAGGGGTGGAGGCACAAGCTGTCCCTTCCAAGTAGTAATCAAAGCTTATAGTACAAAATATCTCTCTGTTGGTTTTTAGGCAAATGGGAAAGCTCCTGCTGTTGAATGTGACATTTCCATCCCTAATCTCTCCAAATTAGCTGTTGTGGCCAATACCTAAAAGATGCTGAAGCTAATGGTTTAAGTGCAGTTCACTACATATAGAATTGCCGACCGATGCGATGATAGTTTTTTCCTGGGAAACATGTACCACAGGAACTCAAGCAAGCAAATGAACGAGAATGCCCTGTAGCCATTTTATTAAAAAATACAACACTATCAAGAAATAGGCTGACTCCGGCCCCTGTCACACTGGGGGAAATAGGCGCAGCCAAAATGTGGCTTTTTTGAGCCGCACCAAAAGAGAAGCGCGGCGGCGGGATCAGACAGATCCCCCCAGCCGCCGCGCAGTTCCTCCCTGGCACAATCAGGTTTTTTTCTGATCTGCATCTTTGGCCGGAAGAGACGGATTGGGGATGGGTGAACGCCGCTTCCCAGATGTTGCGGTGTGATCGCGCCCGCTTGATGAGCCCCCGATCCGTCCCTCTTGCGGATCAAAGCCTCCCGTGTGACTGGGACCTACATCGCACGATTTTACTGCAGGGGAATTTAGTAATACAAAATGTATTGCAAAGCCAGTTGCTTGTTAAATCCCAGAATGTGTAGCTGGCCTTCGAAGCTTCTGAGGAATTCAACGTGTTACCCAGTTATTAGTGCTACTGGTGGTAGTCATACCTCAGCCATTATAATGCAGAAGAGACATCCTTATGAAGAAGAAAAAGTCCATCTTATTAGAGTAGTTTAAGCACAGCAGAAGCTGTCACGGTGTTGGGATTCACGAGGCACTTCTATTTATTTAGAAAACGGGCTCTTTTTATAGCAGGAACTCCTTTGCAAATTAGGTGACACAGCCCTAAAGTAACCAATCCTCCAAGAGCTTAGCGTAGCCCCTGTAAGAAGAGCTCTGTAAGCTCTTGGAGGATTGGCTACATTAGGGGGGGTGTCGCCTAATATGCAAAGGAGTCCCTGCTACAATGAGCCCTGAGAAAACGTATATCCCACCACTCCAGAGACCTGCTTAATGTGACTTACAATGAAGGGTATCGTTCAGGGGTCGTTTTGTAGAAAAAGAGCTAGGGGAACTCATTAGCATAACTCATTAGCATATGCCACACCCCCTGACATCAGGGGCCCGGCGGTGGACCTGCAAGGCTGGCGGGAATGTGAGGAAGCCCCACCAAGGCCCTCCTTGGCCCCAGGCAGGCAGGGGTGGGGAGAGGCGGGGAGGAAGCAACTTACCCTCCCTCTTCTCCTGCCTCCTCCTGGCTGAATGAGGGCCAGAAGCAGGGCGGCCGGAAGCAGGGGGCGGAGCTTCGTCATGTGCCCCGCCCCCCACACCTCACCCGGGGGAACTGCGATCCCCCCCGAATTGACCTCTGGTATTGTTAAATGTTACATAACACTGGTGTCTGCCCTACCCTTTGCAACTGTGTGACTGCTGGTGGGCCTACCTCCAGCCTCCTGTTTTTAACAACAGAATAATGAGTGATCAAAACCAACTTGTCTTTGTAAGCCATTGTACGTTAATTGCAAAGGGGGTGTCAATCTGGTAGAGCAAAATAAAGACTAATATTGAAATAAATCTTGCTAGTCTTTAAGGTGCCACTGGACTTCGGCTTTCTTTAGTGAATGTTAGCCAGTTGATTTATTTATTTCATTCAGTTTTTAGACTGCCCTCCTCGCAAACGGGCTCAGGGTGCTGGACAACATCTTAAATAAATACATCTCAATTAATTAAAAACAGCTACACAAATAAAATCAGACTACAGTAATTCAGATCAAGATTTCCAGAGGAGCATAACATACATCAATTTGTATCTGACTGCTACAAGTAGTTAGAAGCGGACAGAAGGAGTATGTAGAACTCATTCTTCTGTTCTCCCTGTTCCCTCTGGGCACCTCTGAAAAGCTGCTCCTAAGTGCTGGGGGACCCTCAGGAATCAGCGTGAGAATTAGCATGGGGCAGGGTGCAGCTCAAAGGAACATCAGCAGAAACCATTCCCCCTTTCCTGTTGTTCAAATTCTTCTTGCCGAAGTCCCCAGTGTTGCATCCCAGTACAAGGGCACCCTGATCCACAAAAGCCACATTTGGGGGCAGAGGGGAAGGGAGTCTACAAACTCAGCCTATTAATGAATTGAGTCCTGTGAACCATGAAGCACAATTGTTAGAGCCGGAATTTGCAAGTGTGTCTTTGAGTTTCCTTATGCCTGAAAAAAAAGTAATGTCTGTAACTATGGACTGAAAGTTTAATTTAGATCCTCCAAACACATATTCCATCTCTAAAGGCAATAGTTTAAATGGCAGTTTAAAGGCCATTTATTTATTTACAAAGGAGGAGGAGGAGGAGGAGATTGGATTTATACCCTGCCCTTCACTTGGAGTCTCAGAGCAATTTACAATCTCCTTTCACTCCCCACAACAGACATCCTGTGAGGTAGGTGGGGCTGAGAGGGCTCTTTGGAGAACTGCTCATGAGTGAACAGCTCTGAGAGAACTTGTAACTGCCCCAAGGACACACCAGCAGCTGCATGTGGAGGAGCGGGGAATCAAACCCGGTTCTCCCAGATTAGAGCCTGTGCTCCTACCCACTACACCAAACTGGCTCTCATTGACACCCCTCCTTTCTTCCCTAATGGAGACTCAAAGTGGCTTTCATCATTCTCCTTTTCTCTGTTATATCCTCATAATGACTCTGTATGGTGGGTCAGGCCGAGAGTGTGTGACTGGCCCAAGCTCACCCAGCAGGCTTCCATGTCAGAGGTGTGGACTCAAACCTGAGACTTCCAGATCCTCGACCAACACGCTAACCACTAAGCCACACGATGGCTGTCACTGTTCCACACAAATGTGTCAGTGAAACTAGATCTGCCACTGGAAGTTCCATGCACCCCTTCTATCGACCCTTCACAGGATGTGTACAATAAAGACATTAAGTACAGTTAATGATGGAATTGACTGGTTTGACATTTTAGAAATTATGGTTGTAAGGATCCTATGTTGTAGACTCTGTGTTGTACTATTTCGGTTTATTGTGCTGGTCTTATGACTGTTCCTAATACATGTTCCTAATACATGTTCCTAATAATAATAATAATAATAATAATAATAGTAGTAGTAGTAGTAGTAGTAGTAGTAGTAGTAGTACAGTCATTGTGACTTTCTACATACTCACTGACCTTGTCTTAACTTTCCATTCAATTTCAATTTTTTAAATTATTTAACTAATTTTCACACATCTTACCAAATGTGTTATTCCAATCTTAGCTCTATTTATTGTGCACTTGCTTATGCATCTTGAGTGTAATTAGCCCTTGCTGGCAACTAACCCGCCGCCCCCCTTTACCTGTATGTAACATTTGAGGAAATCTTTCTCAATGTCTCTGAAGGGGTGTGCATCTAGACATGCCAAGTCTCTCAGTTCTCACTTATACCCAGAATTGAACTATCTTATCTTGGAAGTGCCACTGGACTTAAAATTTGTTCTCACGTCTGTTTGTTAAACTGTTTGTATTTGTATGCTAATTTACTGCCATTCACAGATCTTAAAGGTAAAGGTTCCCTTGCTTGAAGGCCAGTCGAATCCGACTCTAGGGTTGCGGTGCTCATCTCCGTTTCCAAGCCGAAGAGCCAGCGCTGTCCAAAGACATTTCCGTGGTCATGTGGCTGGCATGACTAAACACCAAGGCGCACGGAGCCCTGTTACCTTCCCACCGAAGTGGTACCTATTTATCTACTTGCAATTTCTTGCTTTCAAACTGCTAGGTTGGCAGGACACAGATCTTACCAACTGCTTTAATCCAATCTCAGCTATAATCACCCAGTTACTTAATGCATCTTGACTCTAACTAGCCTTTCCTGGAAGCCCCCCCCCCCCAATCTTCTCTCTACCTATAAGTACTGGTTGGGGAAATTCTGTTTCGCTGTATCTGAAGAAGTGTGCTTGCACGCAAAAGCTTATGCCTTGAATAAAATTTTGCTGGTCTTAAAAGTGCCACTGGGCTCAAACCTTGTTCTAAGTATTATTAAGCAGCTAATACAAGTTGAGCTACATTTTGAATTAAAGAGGGTATAGTTACCTTGCAGTCTTCAGAGAACGAGCATTTCCTGGTTAATGTGGATCTACTTCTTGGATTCTTGAAATAAATATTGTACGGCTGCTGGCACACCCACTCTGGCTGGTATGCCAGAACACACTGGTCTTTTGCATCAACAAAACCCTGTTCTTTGGAGGGGGAAAGAATGTATTTGGTAAGCAAGTTGACCAAAGGAGATGTATTTTCTTCTCAAAACAACAACAACAACCAAATTCCACTTTAACAAATAATGTTGGAAATTGCCACCAAGTAAAATAATACTACTAATAATGTGAACTATAAAGTACATTGAACGTTCTGCCTGAAGAAGTCCCTGGAGACATTCCAACTTTTGCCAGCAAATAATGATCCAGAGGACAGGGTTGGATCCAGCCAGCTTTTGCACTAGTGGAAAAAGGGAGTAGGGAAGCCCGTTCGACCACAAAAAGGGGCTTTGCATTGGGGGGGGGGAACCTTGTAAGATGAGGGCCACAGTGAGCAGAATTAGGCGAGACTGAGTGAAAAAACTGGCTGGAGCCAACCCAGATACTTACGTAAGGTCTGTCTTATGCATTAAACAAAAACAACCTTGATTTGCTATGAGAAAACAGAGTATCTCGCATGGAGAAACAAGCACATTCTTTCTCCCTTTTAAGCAAAACAGGTCTGGGGAAACCTGGATTATGGCTTCATTAACCACGAGGGCAGTTGTTTTACCCTTAAAGTGTGTGAAATCTTTAAATACATATGTTTGCCTTCAGAAGCCAAAGGGAGTTAAAAAGCCCATATGAAAGGGACCTTTGTGTATTTGCTCTTGTTATGGTGGTTGTGGATGGGAGGGGGAGGGGGGCAGAGGTCATTTCAGGGGAGAACGCGGGGGAATGCAGTTCCCCCGGGTGAGGTGCAGGGGGCGGGGCACATGACGAAGCCCCGCCCCCTGCTTCCGGCCGCCCCGCTTCCGGCCCTCATTCAGCCAGGAGGAGACAGGAGAAGAGGGAGGGTAAGTTGCTTCCTCCCCGCCTCTCCCCACCCCTGCCTTCCTGGGGTCAGGGAGGGCCATGGCGGGGCTTCCTTGCACTCCCGCTGGCCTTGCAGGTCCACCGCCGGGCCTCTGATGTCAGGGGGTGTGGCATATGCTAATGAGTTATGCTAATGAGTTCCCCTAGCTCTTTTTCTACGAAATGACCCCTGGGTGGGGGGATTGGGGTTACAGGGTTTAGGATAGTGACACCTACTTCCCCCCCCCCCCAATAAGCTTTTGTCTTATCTCGCCTGGCCACATATTTTCTGGTCTATTGGACGAGGTTCATATAAATCAAGGTCTAGCAGGTTATGGCAAGCTGACTCTGCTGTGCAACAGGGGGACCACATTACTTCCTAGCATAGCTGTTAAGAAGCAATTTGTTCATTCTTTTTCTAGGCTCTCCGATTGCCAGCATTTTATACTTCCATTTCAGGTCACCACTTTTAACTTGGTTGCAGTGTTCTGGGTGGAGTCCTACATATATCCTTATTTCTATAGGACCTGGGGAAAGTTCCTTATAATAGCTCAAAGGCCTGTTCTCTTGGGCTGGAAGATTTTAAACCTCCTTGACTCATGGCGCCCGCCTATGTAAAGGTTCTAACTCTAAACTGCAGAGGCCTGAACAGTAATATTAAAGCCAAGTGTATCTCTTCCTATTTGAAGCGGCAGATAATAGATATCGCTTTTTTGCAAGAGACCTACATCAATAAAGGTTTAAAGGCTTTTTTCTCCCAAAAAAAAAATCTAACTGGTTAATTAGGCATTTTGTTGTTGTTCAGTTGCACGGTCGAGTCCGACTCTTCGCGACCCCATGGATCATCTCCCGCCAGGCCCTCCTGTCTTCTGCCGTCCTCTGAAGTTGGCTCAATTTCATGTTTGTTCCATCTATGACCCTGTCTAACCATCTCATCCTTTGCCGTCCCCATCTTCTTTGACCTTCAGTCTTTCCCAGCATCAGGGTCTTCTCCAGTGAGTGCTCCCTTCTCATTTGGTGGCCAAAGTATTTGAGCTTCATCTTCATTCTCTGGCCTTCCAGGGAACAGTCAGGGTTGATTTCTTTTAGGATGGACTGATTTGATCTCCTTGCAGTCCAAGGGACTCTCAAGAGTCTTCTCCAGCACCATAGTTCAAAAGAATCTATTCTTCAGCGCTCGGCCTTCCTTAGAGTCTAACTCTCGGAGCCATTCATGACTACTGGGAATACCATTGCTTTGACAATTAGGCATTTACCACTTGGTATATTTACTGGGCTAGCCTGATCTTGTGAGATCTCAGAAGCTAAGCAGGTTCAGCCCTGGTCGGAACTTGAGTGAGATACCTCCAATGAATACCACTGATGAGACATGGAGGCAGGCAATGGCAGACCGCTTCTGAATGTCTTTTGCTGTCAAATCCCTATGGGGTTGCCATAAGTCAGCGTGACCGGGGGGGGGGGGATTACCACTTGGGGACCTGAACTTTTCTTGCCTTATCATATTAAGCCAAAAAGTCAAGGAAGCCAAGTCTAAGAGGGAACATAAAAAGTTACACACTCCCTTCATTGAGAAACTTTCCAGAACTGTCAGGCATTCTCAGAAATAGCGCGCACACACACACCCCAGCTCAGGAGTTGTCACAATTATCCGGAAACCTTTGGGAGTGTGAACATATCTCTCACTGAAATGTTATGCCAGCAGGGGTCATTTTGTAGAAAAAGAGGTGCAGGAGCTCATTACCATAACTCATTAGCATAATTTATTTGCATATGCCACACCCCCTGATATCACTGGAAGTGTGTCAGAAGACAACACCCATCGCTCAGGCTCCACTGGACTGTTTTGGATTGCTAGCTATTGGGAGGGGATGTGCAGATCTGTCCTTGCAGAGGAGGGAGAGCTTTTACCTGAATAAGACTTGGTCTTAAAAGTGCCACTGGACTGTTTTGGGCCAGGAGGCCGGGGGGGGGGGCTCTGCCATTTACCTGGCTGCTTCTTGCTCTGACTGAGGGCTGCTGGGAGCAGGGGGTGGGGCTTGTTGCATGTGCCCGCCCCCTGGGCTCTTTACTGTCAGAGCTCCGCTCCTGTGCGCTCCTGCAGGAAATGATCCCTGGTTATATGTATTCAAGACTTGCTCACAACATGGATTCAAACTGAAATTTGTACATGTGCAACAATTCAGGTTGGCTTAGACAATATCTGTTCTCCAGTGATGCTCATAATTGCTGACCCAAAGCTGAATCAAGAAGGGAGTTTGCCTATTGCTAATTTGAATTAGAATTACTTGACCTACTTCTGAGGGAAAATACAATGTATTGATGTAACAGGGAAATATCTGATGAATTTCCAACAGAGAGTGTGAGATGGTTCTGTGCAGTTTGAACTGAGAATCGTTAAATTATGCCTAGGAGATATATTTATTTTCAGTTTAACAGGGAGAAGCTGGAATTACCCTTGAAGGAAAATTGAATGCATTTTTGTACAATATGAATATCAAGTAATCATACTTTCTGTGGAGAAAGTACAGTGTGTCTTTCTGTGTGGTCGGAATCATGGGTGTTTGAATTAATGAGCTACTATTTATATGACATTAGAAAACTTTTCCCCCTTCAATTGGAAACATTTTGTCCGATAATATAATTCTGTAAGAAAGTGCTATCAGAAGAAGAGGAGGAGGAGATTGGATTTATACCCCATCCTTCACTACCTAAGGAGTCTCAGAGTGGCTTACAATCTCTTTCCCTTCCCCTCCCCACAACAGACACCCTGTGACGTAGGTGGGGCTGAGAGAGCTCTTTTGAGAACTGTTCGTGAGAAAACAGCTCTGAAAGAACTTGTAAGTGACCCAAGGACACACCAGCAGCCAGCAGTTGCATGTGGAGGAGTGGGGAATCAAACCCGGTTCTCCCAGATTAGAGTCCGCACTCCTAACCACTACACTAAACTGGCTCTAAATTTATTTATGACAAACTATTAAGAGTTTGGTGGCTCAAGTGGTTAAGACGCTGAACTGCAGGCTGTGGATGGTCAGTAGTTCAGCAGTTCGAGACCCAAGTGCCGCATGATGGAGTGAGCTCCCGTCTTTAGTTCCAGCTCCTGCCAACCTAGCAGTTCGAAAGCAAGAAATTGCAAGTAGATAAATAGGTACCACTTCGGTGGGAAGGTAACAGTGTTCCGTACGCCTTGGTGTTTAGTCATGCCGGCCACATGACCACGGAAACATCTTTGGACAGCGCTGGCTCTTTGGCTTTGAAACGGAGATGAGCACCGCAACCCTAGAGTCGGATTCGACTGGCTTTCGAGGTAGGGAACCTTTACCTTTACCTACTAAGAGTATAGTATTGGAGATATATTGAGGGAGTATGCATAGTGGCTGAAGGTCAAAGAAAAATAATATGGCTATTGTACTGGCAGAGTTTAAACACGCAGAGGAATGGAGCACCAACCGTTTAAAGAAAACAACTCGGTTTATTAAAGAAGAATTAACTCTGATAGAACAGAGGAGTGGGAGAGAGGTTTAACTCAACGACTAATTGCTGTGAGAGACAGGAATGAAGGGGGAGGGCTCAGTTGGAGCAGGAAGTCTCCAAAAAGCCAATCAGGAGACAGGAAGGATATAATTTGAAATTGTGGGAAGTCCCTAATTTAGGTATGCTAACTGGCAGTCCTTCAGCTGTTCTTCTGATCTTCTTCAAGTAGGTGCGCTATAGACCATGTAGATTCCCAACATATCGCACATAGCCCTTTTGTGATGGTGCAGACCATCAAAAATGAGTGTGTAGAGCGAATGAATGAATACCTGCAGTTCTCTTGCTGTATCTGCTAAACTTCCCAGCCAGAAGGATAACTTTTCAATTGTGAATGATTGTTCTGACAAAATTTAAAATAATTTATTTACAAAAATGGGAGCACATATGTTCAAAAAGCCTTGCAAAAATCTCTTTTCTCCAGTTGGGTGTAGTGGTTAAGAGCATGCTTGATTCCCCACTCCTCCACATGCAGCTGCTGAAGTGACCTTGGGTCAGTCACAAGTTCTCTCGGAGCTGTTCTCTCAGGAGCAG